CGGTGTTAAAAATTGAAAAAGACACCGATTGAATATTTTTATTTTCAACAGTTCGGGTACTTTCATTTATTTGTTAAATATTATACAAAATAAAATGACCGATACGTCTAATGACAATGCCATAAAATTTGGCCCGCGCACCGTGCTGGTAAAAACTGATTTTGACAATTCCAGTGGACCATTTTACACGTTACTTAAGTCTAACCATATATATCCCGGGTATCGTTTGGTCTGCACTGTGTGTAGTTCACCGTGCGACCATGAAAAAGAATATTGCCGTTCTAAAAATATAGAACACTCGACCGGCAAATATAGGCGTGATAATGCGAATAAAACATTAAAAGAAGGATTAAATGTCAGTAATTATCCCATGTTTTTTTTCGAGGGAACTCAATGTTACAGGTTTCTTGATCTTGGTTTTGAATTCTACGCAGAGGTTGAAATACCCGACGGATCAGAAGTTTATGTTAACCGTGATGGTGTAAAATATTCGAATATGATCGATGTCAAATCGATCAAAAAATTTAGTGATGTTGACGACGATTTTTGGATCAAAATGTTGGAAAAAACCAGTATAGTGATTAAATATATTACAAACAAAACACCGGATATGATAAAGGATGTTATCAAAAGAGATTGGACTGCCATAAGTCTTGTTGAGCAAACAGAAGATTTGTGTAAATTTGCGTTTGGGGTATCTATCAAAGCTTACCAATTTTTTGAAGAACAATTTCAGACAGATGATATGTTGGAAACAATACTTAAAGAAGATTGTTCTTTATTTGAGAAAACTAAAAAGAAAACAAAACAAATTTGTGACGAAGCATTTGAAGCAAATCGCTTGATGTTATATTACATTCCGATAGAGTATCTGACGGACGATATGTATATTGCCGCAATTACCGAATTCCCGGGTTTGATTACAATGATTGACAAATCTAGAACCGATCTCATTTTAAAAATTATCGCCAATAACAACAAAGTTCTGAGATATATATATCATCCGTCAGACGATATAATTAAACACGTACAAAAAACACATGGCATAATCTTCAAATATTACGAAGATGAAAATATTGGAGGGTATTTTGACATAACAGACGAAGACTGATATGATGCCGGCCGGACAGGACAATAAGTTGCGCGAGTTTTTTATAAATAAATAATAGTTTTATGGATTGGGGTCTGACATCTTGTGTTTATTTTATTTTATTTTATTTTGTTTTATTTTATTTTATTTAAGGCAATAAAAAAGAATACATAATAGCACTTTTATTAAATATTGTTAATAAAATTAAGATATTGGAACCGTACTGACTTTTACACCCTCGAAGATTTTTTAAAAATGGGACAAAAACCCTATATCATACCAATATTTCTTTTAATAGTTTTGCCATTGTTGTCTCATTTTATTTTAAATCTTCAAGGATGTAAATTAACAGGGTGTGTTTTGGTTTTTTTACACCTTTGCACATTTAAAACGCTGATTTTTTAAATATGCAAATTAAAAATAATTTTTTAATGTTTTTCTTCTATTTGAAAGTTTCTTATGATATTTTTCAGTTCTATTATAAGTTCCTTTAATTATATTCTCATATTTTTCTTTTGGTATATCTTTAATGACTTTTTTTATATTTGTTTTTAATTCTTTGTGTGTTAAACCATCTAATTTTTGTAATCTTGATTTCATCATACTAAAGTAATTTTCGATTGAATTCGTAAAATGTTGATAAGGAACTGAATATAATAATGTATTATGCTTATTTAGTAATTCTTTAATTTTTTCATTTCTATGACTACTTGCATTATCTAAAAATATTAATTTATTTTTGTATTTTTTTTGTAATATGTTTTTCTAAAAATTCATATAGTCTATCACTATTAATACCATCTTTTTCATATAAATCCCAACCTAATACTCCATTATAAGATATTGCAAATATACCAGTGTATTTTTTGAATACTTCTTGCGATTGTGTTTTTATTACACATCTTTTTCCTAATTCACTATAGCATTGATGTCTTTTTGAAGACCACTTATACTTGTTTCATCTATACATATAATATCTTCTAATTTATGTTTTTTAATTTCATCGTAGAATTCTTTTAATTTTTGATTAATATTTATTTCTTTACCAAATCTTTTTTCTGGTTCATGTCATATTCTTGTTATTTTTAATGTTATATTATTATCATTAACAATCCTGTTGATATGAAACCTACTTTATTCTATTTATGCGAATAGATGTAAATGGTAAGCCTTTATCAAAATAAAAAATGTTGTCAAGAAGAAAATATCAATTATATTGAAAAAACAGAGATTACACAAGAACTTAAAAAATGAAGGTAGTTTGTGCCGATCCTGAAATGAGCGATTTGTTATATTTTGGTTCTCATAATTATAAAAATGAATTAGAAACATTTAGATATACACAAAATCAAAGAAGATTAGAAACAAAAAATAAAAAATACAATAAAATTATTGATAAAGTTAATAAAGAAACATTTATTGATAGCAAAACAATAAAAGAGTTAGAAACAAGTTTATCTAATCTAAACTCAAAAAGTTGTAATTATGAAAAGTTTAAATTATATTGTATTGAAAAGAATAAAATAAATAATCAACTTTATACTCATTATGAAAAATCATTTTTTAGAAAATTTAAATTAAATGCTTTTACAAATACACAAAAAAGCGAAAGCAAAATGATTAAAAACTTTGAAAATAAATATGGTAAGCCTAATAAAACTATTTTAGTAGTTGGTGATTATGATAAAGGTGATAATAATATGAAAGGAAAAGAACCTACAATATGTAAGAAATTTAGAAGAATATTTAGAAATGCAGGTTATAAAACATATTTGGTAAATGAATTTAGAACATCAAAACTTTGTAATTGTTGTAATGAAGAAATAGAAAAATTTTTAGAAAAACCAAGTAAAAAACCTAAAAGAAAAGGCAAAATAGACTTATGTCATGGTATATTACGATGCAAATCGGTTAAGCATAATTGCGAAATATACCATAACAGAGATTAAAACGCTGTGCAAAATATGTTAAAAATAGTAAAATCTATATTTAACACTGGAAAAAGACCAGAAGTATTTTGTCGCAGTAGTTAATAAAACTTCATACACATTTCACGATGTGTTATAACCAAATTTTTACATTTTTGTATATTTTTTTGTCGTTAAGTCGGCGTTTTAAATGTGCAAAGGTGTAAAAGGAGACAAATTTGCCTAAAACATTAATAGTTATTTTATTTTATTTTGAATGGTATAAGATTAAGACAAAGTAAATATGGTTAATCGGTCACATCAACCAGTTTGCAAATTTATAATCATTTTATTAAAAAATAACGTATTTAGACAATAAAAAACAGTTGTGAACTAATCAAAAATGTCCGTGATGCCTTTATTTTCCATCTGTCTTTATGTAGGATATAAAACTGTTAGAACATTTTGACTTTATAATTAAACAAAAATGACAAGAATGTTAAAAATAGTAAAATCTATGTTTAACACTAAAATAAGACTTTGCGCTTTTTGGTTTTTTTACGCTTAGTCGCTAAAAGTGCAATAATGGCGTTTTTATAAAAAAGCTTTTTCACTGACCCGTATTTAGTAAACGTTTCCTTTCTAACAATTGTTTAATATTCGCTATATTTCTATCTGCCTCTTCGAGTTTGGCTTTTCTGTCTTCAAGTTCTGACGAAGCCTTGTTAACAACCCTGATCTTTTCATCTAAATTATCTTCTTTTTCTTTATCTAATTCTATTTTATCAAGTTGTTTTTTGTTTTCTTTTTCCGCATATCTTTTACGGAGCCTCTCTTTTGTTTTTTCGCGAATAGCAGATCTTGTAGGTCGTTCAGGGCTTTTTATTTTTGCTCTCTTTTTGGATTTATTTGCGGCTATTTCATCGGTTTTACTGGCATTTTTAGTCATACTGGTAGTTGTGCTGGCAGTTGTACTGGCAGTTGTACTGGCTGCACAGGCTTTTTTAGATTCGTTAATCCTCTCTTTTTTTCCCGACTCTTTTTTATCAATATTTTCTTTATGTTTTCCAGCAAGGATATTGATCTTGTCCATTCTTTGTTTTCTTTGGGCGTCAAGAATTCGTTGATGGGCTGCATTAGACGACATCTCTCTATCTACTCGACACGACGGTGGATCAAATTCAAGCCATTTACCTGAGTCGCCGATGAAAATCTTGAAGTATTTATCTTTTTTTTCTTTTTCTTTTGCCGCCTCTTTTGCCGCCTTCATTGTTGAATATGCTCCAATAAACTTTAGAGCCCTAACATTACAATTCATAATACCTTCCGGAGACATAAATTGAAATAAACAATATTCTTGTCCTCTTAATGGCTTGTCTTCATCAAGATGGTCGACAACAGTGTACTTTGACAAGTCCTCGTTGTTTTGTTCTTCATCACTTGACACATTGTCAGGCATATCATCTCCAAAAGTAACACCAATTTTTTCTTCATAACCGTCAATATCATGTATTTGATTAGTATCACATTCCGGTTTCTCTTTTTCAGTATATTCTGGTTTTTCAGTTTGTTCTAAAATTTCACCACATTCCGGTTCTTGGGAATTTTTGCTAATTGATTCTTGAATATCCATAATTTATTTAATCTGTAAAAATACTGTGACTGTTTAAACCTTTTTTTTATTTCTTTTTTTATTTAGTGACAACGTGTGGATAGTAGGTATTTACAAACATAAAACATAAAGTAGTTATTGCGACTATTGTGAGTAAATCACTGTTACTCAATTCTAGACCCGCAAAATACCGCAAAATCACCGAGTTAATTAAAACAAATAATAAAACTCGGACAATTCTTTCTTTAATTTCATCTTGATTTAAATGCATATAATATGAAATGATGTGATTTATGTCTTAGAACCAGAAAATACTTTTTTACCTAAATTATTAATCATGTAAAACATACCAATATTTTAGATGGTTTAATTGAAAAAATTTCTGTTGAATTTAACTAGAACAATACTTTCGACCGATGTCAATACATATTTTTCGCCAAACACGCTCTTGTTGTTTAAGTTTTTCGGGACTTTTTAACAATTTGAAATGTTCGGCCACATCACGTCGTCCGATTGCTAGAAAAATCTTGTTCAAAACAAATGTGTACTTTAAGAAATTCTCCCTATTGGGTGGTTTGTATTTTTTTTCATAGACTTCTTCAGCCTCAATAAATATTTTTAACACAAGTTCATACTCACCAACTGTAATTGTTTGAGGACGTTTGCCAGTTATCTTGCTGTAAATATACATGATATTTTCATAGAAGTCGCTCAAATGGTGTTTTTTCATCATGGCCTCTATAAATCTTATTGTAATGTCTTTTTTGATAAGATTGTGTTTTTCAATCTCTTCTTCAAGAACCTTAAAAACCCTTTCATGTACATTGGCCGTACTTTTGCAAAGAAATTGGTTAAGTTTTTCAATACAATGGCCGAGTCTTTTGTAATGGGATTTCGGTTTTTCCGCAAATGTTTCCCTTTGCAGTGGCATGTCCGAATCAATGACAATATTGTCCGAATCCCCGCATATTGCACATGCTAATTTTGACTCGTTGTATATTATTATTTTATCGACATTGCACGTTTTACATTTTTTGGTAAACGGATTTTTGGAATTTGCACATGCGTATTCTTTGTCCATCATCATAAGATATTGGTTTTGTAACGCCGCCTTGCAATTTGATGTTGTTTTTTCTTCTTTACTGCCAAGAAGGTATTCATAAATGTTTTTTGTTGGAGTCATTTCGATTTTTTTATTTCGTTTACGTATGGGTCTCTTCATTTTTCTTTTTCTGTCATGATTGGTTATGGCCAAAAGTTCGTCGCTAATAACTATCTTGGATTTTTTTGACAGTTCGTCTTTATCAGAATCGTCATTTATGGTCTTTCCGTCAAAGTTCTGCCCATAAATGATCCCATTTGTGATTTTATAATAATCTTCTAATACATCACCCGTCCTACTATAATATTCCAACTCGGCATCATAGTTTTCGGTCTTATTTATGTCTTCTTTGAGTGTTTTAATTAAATTTCGCAACGTATTTCTTTTTTTATTGGAATTAAAATCGGGCTTAATCGGTTTATCACAATTTAAGGCATTTAATTCCGAGAGTTCTTTTTCTAAAAACCTCAGTCGGCGTTTTTTTTCTGGAACAGCATTATGTTTTTTTTTAAAATCCTCCAATTGTTCTTTATGAATTTCATCAATAGTTTTAAGGTTAACTCTGTATTTGTGTTTGTCTGGTTTATATTTGTAATCAACCGGCATTGGTATAATAAACGGGTATTTTGACAAATCAATAGAGTAGGCTCTTTAAGTTGATAAATTGCATTACATGTTTTTTTAATCTTTGTATTTTTTTTTATTTTGTTTCACGCTATTGGAGAATTGAAACCCAAACAGTGTTGTCGTTTTTTACAGAAAAGATATATCATTGTAAAATTAAACGACACGTAAGTGGACGGAAAAAAGAAAATACAAATAAACATATGGTAAAATGACATTGAGATACATAATAAACCAAACCGAAGAAATATGTAAATTAGCGGTTCAACAAAATGGATTATCATTACGACATGTGAAAGAACAAATCGAAGAAATATGTAAATTAGCGGTTAGACAAAATGGTTTAGCATTAGAATTTGTAAAAGAGCAAACTGAAGAAATATGTAAATTAGAAATATGTAAATTAGCGGTTCGACAATATGGTTTAGCGTTAGAATTTGTAAAAAAACAAACTGGTAAAATATGTGAATTAGCAGTTCGGCAAGATGGCTATGCATTACGATATGTAAAAAAACAAACCGAAGAAATATGTAAATTAGCGGTTAGACAAAATGGTTTGGCTTTAGATGATGAGAAAAAACAAACCGGATAAAAATGTGAATTGGCTGTTAAACAAAATGGATCAGCATTACAATATGTAAAAAGGCAGACCGAAGAAATATGTAAATTAGCCGTTCAACAAAATGGATTAGCATTACAATATGTAAAAAGGCAGACCGAATAAATATGTAAATTAGCCGTTCAACAAAATGGATTAGCATTACGACACGTAAAATAACAGACCGAAGAAATATGTGAATCGGCAGTCAAACAAAACGGACTAGCATCACGGCACGTAAAAAGGCAGACCGAAGAAATATGTGAATTAGCGGTCAATCATAATGGATTTGCATTACAATATGTAAACGAACAAACCGAAGAAATATGTGGATTAGCGGTCAATCATAATGGATTTGCATTACAATATATAAACGAACAAACCGAAGAAATATGTGAATTAGCGGTCAAACATAATGGATTTGCATTACAATATGTAAACGAACAAACCGAAGAAATATGTAAATTAGCTGTTAAACAAAATGGATCAGCATTACAATATGTAAACGAACAAACCGAAGAAATATGTAAATTAGCCGTTCAACAAAATGGATTAGCATTACGACACGTAAAAGAACAGACCGAAGAAATATGTGAATTAGCAGTCAAACAAAATGGATTTGCATTGAAATTTGTAAAAGAACAAATTGGCAAAATATGCAAATTAGCAATTAAACAAAATCCATCGGCCCTACAATTAGTACCTAAATTTGTTATATTAACAAACATATTTTTATTTTTTAATAATAATTAATAGAAGATTAAGATAAGACGGCATAAATTATATTGTTTATTGTTAGCATACGTTTTTTATTTTATTTTATTTACCTAAAACGAAACGACTTTTTATGATTTTAGGTAATTTTATTTTTGCCATTTACACCCTTAAAGATTTAAAATAAAATAAGACAAAAATCCTATTTATGTCAAAAAAGTTTACCCATTACAGAAATATGTAAATTACGATTATATTGTGGCGACAACCACAACTACAACTGATTAGTTTATGGTCCTCATTATATTATTATATAGGCTAATGTTTTTATTTTTATAACATAAAATCTATATTAAAGTAAAGTAAGGAAGTAATTCGCTATAGAACTTATAACTATTCGTTCGTTACACACGTGGTTTGTTTATCATATCATATCAATATTTCTTTTAATAGTTTTGTCATTGTTGTCTCATTTTATTTTAAATCTTCAAGGGTGTGATGTAAACACGAATTTTTAAGAAGAAAATATAGTAAACAAATACCAGAAACAAAAAAAACAATTAATTAACCATGATTACATTTTTTTAATCTTTCATCCCCAATATAATATAATTTGTCAAATAAAAAAAACAAGCACAATTAAACTAAAATTTTTAGTGAAATGGTTATAAATTCGTAAAATATTTGACTAATTAACTATGTTTACTTTTTATTAACCTTCCACCCCCAAACATAATATTATATAATATAATATAATATATTTGCATTAAAAAAGCAACATGGTGTTGACAATCGGGTCGTTATATATTCTATTTCAAAAATTCCATGTATGCCACAAACAATGACGCGTTTACATGTTAATACATGCATTATTAAATCAAAACCACTAAATATATAAAAAGAGCATTACAATGCTATTTTCAATGTGTTCGGGATATTTATCGTAATAGGTTCTGTGTATAGAGATAAACAAAACATTTATTTCCAAAAACAAAATGATTTTTTTCTAACGACAAAGTATAATACCACATGGGTGGAGGAATCATAAGTTTAGTTGCAAACGGCGCTCAGGATGTTTATCTAACAGGCTCTCCTCAAATAACCTACTTTAAAGTTATATATAGACGTTACACTAATTTTGCTATCGAGACTGTCGAACACGCAATTGACTCTGCAAAGCCTGGTGGCAGATATTCTGTTATAATTCAGAGAAATGGTGATCTGGCAACAAAGACCGCATTTAGAGTCAGAGTCCCAGCAGTCAGATCTGAGGTTCTCGGAACTACCACTGAGAAAATCGCTTGGGTCCGAAGACTCGGACATGCACTTTTAAAAGAGATTGAAGTCAAAATTGGTGGAATGAGAATCGATCACCATGTCGGTGTTTGGCTTGATATTTTTTATGAATTAACTCATACCCAATCAGAAGAAAGGGGATACAGAGCTTTAATCGGAGATGTCGAAGAAATGACGGCTCTTCGAGGAAAGGAACTTTTTGACACAACGTCCGAAGTTTTACTACCTGAATATACACTCTATATTCCTTTTCAGTTTTGGTTTTGTAGAAATTATGGTCTTGCTCTTCCATTAATTGCTCTTCAATATCATGAAGTAAGAATTGATCTTCAACTCGAAGAAGTCGGCAAACTTATGTGCTGGACTGGCAGAGCCGCACCAAACATGAGCAATTTTTCATTCAAGGATTCAGGAGTTATGATTGACTATGTTTACCTTGAATCTGGTGAAAGACGAAAGTACGCTCAACTTGGTCACGAATATCTTATTGAACAAGTCCAATATTCTGAAGACACTGTTCAAATAAACTCAAATTCTACATCCAATAATCAGAAATTTAAGCTAAATTTTAATCATCCTACAAAGGAGCTTGTTTGGGCTCTTAAGATCGGTGCTTTTAACGGCGAAGGTAATAAAACCGCCTATTCTGGAGGTCGTGGTAAATTTCTCTGTTATACTCATGACGACAATGCATGGGCATCTGCAGTAGATTATGCAGCCAAGAATTTGATTGAAGGATGTGTTTTTATTAATCCAAAGCAGATTTCTGGCAAAACCGCCCTAATTAACGGTCAGCTTGCACATCTTTGCTCAAAAATCACAAATCCGGGATATAACGATGGGCAAAGAATTGTTGTTGAACTTAAAAACAATAATGTTACTGAACTTGCTAACGGAACAAGTATTGACGACATTAATGAAAACGGCATAGTTGTGTGGTGTTACGACACTCTTTTTAGCACTCTTGACTTTAATTTGTTTGGTAACAATAATCAAGTTGAATTATCTGATATGATCGAATACGGTAAAATTGTCGTATCTCATACGGATGGTGACAAAATCTCAATCGAAGCCGTCGAAGTGAGGCACTCCCTCAGCCTCACCGATGTGTCTATTCCAGTTGAGGACTTTAAAGACAATGATCATAGATCATCTGACTCCAATAAATATTGTGTTCATACTGATGTAAATATTGTTCAGCCAAACAATTATGGTCTCAGACTTGACGGAAAGGGTAACCCAATTCAAAGTGCCAACATATATCTTAATGGTCATGAAAGAATTAAGATCCAAGAAGGAAGCTATTTTAATTACTACCAAACAAAGAATCATCATACAAGAACACCTGCCGATGGTATAAACGTGTATAGCTTTGCTCTTCATCCTGAAAAACATCAACCATCAGGTACAACCAATTTGTCAAGAATAGACAACACCTTGCTAAATCTAAACTTTGCAGATAGCATCAGACAAAACAACAGACTTAAATTGGACATATCAACTGATACAAAACTTTTCATTTTTGCTTTTAGTTACAATGTTCTCAGAGTTATGAGTGGTTTAGCAGGTCTTGCATACAGCAACTAAACAACCATCAAATGTATTTATTTATGATGGCATTGTCTAATAACCTGATTGTTTTATTAATAAATAGTATTATTGTTATACTAATTAAAAAAGTAACTCAGTTGGTTTGTTGAAAATAATAAAAATATTATTTGGATTTTGCAATTATTTCGCAAAAATT